ACCCTGAAAAACGATAGGATTTTCTCACGTCTTTAAGAAAGGCAGGGTACACCATATGAACAAGCATTTTTAAACAGATGATTACTTGTGCTTTACAGTTTAATAATCATACAATATTTACAGTTATACTCTCTGCGTCTTTCCACGTCTGACTACTGAGTCGGTTTGATTAACTCATGTATGGCTAAAACCTTTTTACAAGCTTCAGATTCTTCTTCAGCTTCTATGTATCCTGTTTACATATTTTAATATTAATGTCAAGAGAGACCTATAAAACTTTAGACTTGACAAAAAATTGCAGTATTTTAACATTTAAATTTGGCCATAAATACAGTAAACAAACTTCTTCTGTCTACATATTGCAGATTGACTTAGCAGTAAACACAAAGGTTTATATTACCATGACTAAATCGCAGGTCTTCATAATCAGTTTTTAATTTGGTGTCTGTGCTCCTAAAGTTATGCCCCTTTTCTTCACGTTGCTGCATGAATTAACCACCTCATCTCCCTTCCTTACTAAAGAAACTACTTCACAATTTATCCTCAACCATTTTCTGTGAAATGGGTATGGGTACCTATTTCAACGACCTGACAAGGCTAAATCAGGGCTCATAAATGCATACACATTTTGTATGCATAAGATGCATGCACAAAATATTATGTGACAACTTCTTACAAGTTTGTGTGCACAAAACCAATTGTTTGGCTCACCAAAACTGAGCCAATTCTCAGTTCATCTGTTTTTAAAAAAACCCTTAATACACTTTATGCTACAGACAAGAATGAAATAACTTTAGTTATAAAGTTAAGACAATGACTTTTTGTAGACTAATATTAAAAAAGCTAGCAGTAATAATCAAGTAATTTTGTACTATCTTTATTGCCCTTAACGTTTAAAGATAGTGTGGGCAAGGAGACATTTTGTCCCATCATGGGGTTGTTACCACACAGTGGCTGCTTTTCATGGAGCCACGCTCACTAGAAGGCTGACAAGGCTCCTGCAGCCAACTTTCCAGTTAGCTAGCTCTGAGATTCAGAATGCAGCACAATACTATTCATGCTAAATATGGCATTTAACTGGTATCAGGTTAGAACAGAAACACTTTAAGCAAATCTCTGTACAGATGATTTGATTACTTTATGTCTACTTTGAAGCAAACTGATGCCAGTGATCAAAACTTTCATCATTATGATTTGTTAATCACAACTATTTTAAACAGCAAAGAAAATTTATAGAGAGATGTTTAGAAACAAGTTATGCAAGGCTCTCATTACTTGGCATCTTAGGTAGAATATTTTTCTGAGAGAAGAAATACTGTAATGAAAAGAGTCTTATAAACAAACCTAAGTTGTTCTGAGGAAATGCCTACAATTTGTCTCTAGAAAGTGACATCTTGAAATCTAATTATTGTTCTCTATCAAATCATCATAATAATTACATTACAGCCTCCCACCAGGAATAATGGGTACTTCTGGCGCTCTGGGGAGAGACACCTTTCTATTTATATAATCTATAACAAATATAATATAACACACACAATCTTTCCTCCTCCCTAAAAGAGCACTGCGCTGCATTTATTTAGGAAAGGCAAAATTAGAAGAAATTTCTGTGCCAGTCAAGAAAATAATCGGGATCTTTCTCCTCATGCTGACCAACATCTAGTGTGTATTTTTTCCTCAAGTGCTTCATCAAAAACAGTAAAGTTATTTTAATAATTCATAAATAATTCATGGCTGCATTTTACATAGCAATTGCCTCTTTCTTCAAGTGAAATACTGAATTTATTTTTAATGGAAAAAAGTTAAAGCGATATTTAAGAGTGAAAAATAAAACAAGAGTCTATTACATATTTTAAATATACTAGACTTTTTAAACTGTTCAGGGGTAGGAACAAGTGGAGGAACCCATATAATTTAGTTGATCTATTTTTAACCTAAGCAACAATTGTCTAACATCCTAAAAATGAATTAGCACTGTGTAATCCATCACATAAGGCCTCTCTTATAATATAAAAATACATATTTTTTTGTAAAAAGTTTAATTTAATTTTCTTGGAATCTTTTTTTTTAATTTCAAATTTAACCAGATTGTAATTACATACCTTGTCATACGCATAGTAAGCCTTTTTCTTGTTTACACTACGTACTAAGAAATGCTTCGCATACACTGTGTCTTGCTACAGACCTTGAAATAATATCCTTTGAGACTATCAACAGACTATAAAATGAACTCTTAAAGGTGACCTGAAAAAACAGCATGAAAATGGGAGCTCGTTACAGAAACAAATGCTAAATGCCTCCAATAACTAGCTGGCAGAAGAAAACCAAGCATTAATTTATCATCATTTAAAAACTGAAGCATCACTTCCTAGCTTCCAAACAACTGCAAATGCATCATTCTGTGACATCACTGTGCAAAAAGACTTTGTACATTGACTGTCTCAGTTGTTGTTGTAGCATGTGGAATTTATTTCTGTCTTAAATTCAATCTCAGTTTAGCTTTGCTAAGACACTCCAAGTTAAGCCTTATCAAAGCATGATCGCTGCATGAAATAAACATTTACTGGCTGGCAGAAATATATTAGATGCCCACATTTCTTGCCCTAAACTAGAGAGTTCCAGCTGAAAAGAAAACATACAAATCTGTAAACATTTGTCTTATCAATCAATTACTACAATAGCGTACATTCTTCTTCAATATTAAGAACTGATTTTTGTTATTCACATTGCTTGGGATTTTATAAGCCTCATCAATGCTATAGTAGATTGTAGGGAGAACTGGCAAATGAACCACAGAAACGAAGAACAGAAGCAAACAATAAAAATAAAGTTTTCTTATTGGTTGTGATATACGCAGTTGCACTAACATGATTAGGAAGCAAATGTCCTTGCAGGTAAGATTTTCAGTTCCCACACGTAGGCAAAGTGATATATTCAGTACCTTAAGGATAGAAAATATATTAGTACAGAAGCAGAAAAAACTTATTTTTACAGTCTGACATAGCTCCACTAGCCTATGACTTCACAGTAAAAGAACAAGACAGTATACCTAGCTTTGCCAAACACCTTTCACCCATTACCTGCTTTTGTATCTCAGTCCTCGAGTAAATCACAGGTTCCCTCAAACAGCTAAATAAAATTAACTGGAGACAACACAGATTTAGAAAGTTACTATTGAACTGGAGGCATATATTCTAAAATGTCCTCCAATCGCTAAAAATAATAGAAGAAAGTTGCTGTGGATACAGTGATTGAAGTCAGCTGTAATTCACTCAGGTTACTGCCATCATTAGAGGATGCTCACTGTAAGATTTCTCTCAGCTGTGTTTAATGAAGTTTTTAGTTTGTAATCAAATTTATGCTACATTACATAGTTCCTATTTTACTCATAGTACTGTTGATGCTGGAGGAAAAATCAATCCTACTTTACCTTTAAGAAATATATAAGAAGCTTGCTACTGAAGACATATCTACCAGGAAAAGAAGGGGAAAAAAGGAAAAGGGTTGAAAAAAGGAAAAGAGTTAAAAGGCAAAAGAGGATAACAAATGTTGTGAGAACATTTAAGATATAGTATGACTAGAGCAAGGTCTACAGTAGTATTTCAAAGTAGCATGTAGAAATTATTCTATGCCACTACTGATAAATACCTTGTTTTCTAAACAAGAAAATATCCAGTGTAACAATATGCAACAAATCATTTTACTTAGCAAGGACCACACACACAAACTTCAGACCTTAATGGAAACTGGAGAGTGGGGGGAAGGGAAGGAGGAAGAAAGGGAAGGGTGTGTGTTTCTCTGTGTGTGTGTGTGTTTCTCTGTGTGTGTGTGTGTTTCTCTGTGTGTGTGTGTGTGTGTGTATAAACATATATACAAGCACACACACATTTTAATATGCAGTTGATTAGCAGCCAAGTATAAAAATACCACTATTTCCCAACAAAATCAGAATGAGTTTAATTATTAGAAGTAATCATATCAGGAAAATGAACTATATAATACAAGTTACTTAAAAAGAAGTATAATTGAAATGGATAATGTAAATTTGTGTTTTTAAAATCCTATATAAAACAAATAAATAAAATGTTTTTTCTCAGAAGCATTTATATTGAAATTCAGCAAATATTCTTATTTACAGTGGGCATGAAATGACTACATCAGTTAAGTATCAAAACCTCAAGGTCTTCTAAACAGTCTCTGATTTGCTGCATTGCCCTAAATATTATGCTAAATATTCAAGAAAAAAGCTTCACAGTCAAGAAAAACACTCTTTTCTTGGTTTCAGTTATGACACAAGATAATAGTGTAGGACAACAAGATTAAATGACCAACAGCATAAAAACCCTGGTGCATGTCAATTCCAGGCATTCTTGTAACTCTGATAATAACATAGTTCAACTGTTCATTTAAAAGCAAAAAAAAACCACCCCAAAAACCAAACAACAACACTTAAGCAATTTAAATTTCTAAAAATTAAGCACCCTTTCAATTTGCCCAAAGTAAACCATCACTCATTTTAACTAACACATTTTCACTGCTATAAGCTGGGCCCCAACGAGAAATAAGCATCTCGCATCACATCACAGAATGCTGAAGGCAGTCACACTACAAAAGATCTCTTCAAAATGGTATTTTTAATGAAAGTACATATAAATCAGTTTTCTCAAATAGTTAACAAGTTGCTTATAAATAAAGTAGCTGGTTAATTTCTAACCAGGGGGTTATAAAGAACTTTGTTCTTTTAACCTTTCTTAAAGGCACCAAGCTCCTGGCATAGCTCTGTACAATCTGTGACTTCTTCTTGATTCATATGAAAAGATAAATCAGTGTCTCTTTGTACTGGGTTAAGTGCAGTGTCAACTCAATCCATTCGTGCAAGTCATAGAAGTGGCATACCAAAGTCAACAATAACAACTATCAATGGTTTAAGCCACAGGTCAGGATACACAATAAGTGTCTGAATGAGGAATGTCATACCCAGTTCAAATATACTTTAGCACTGAAGAGAACTGACATCATGCCCTTCAAAACAAATACTGAAAATTTAAACAAAACCACCTTAGGGCTGTTTTTTCACATCACCAGCTTTCATTAAAGCTTTAATAGCTCTGGCCCTCATCTCAAGCTCCAGGAGCTCCAGCTGTTGTGCTGATGGCTGAACATCTTCTGATGGAGGAACAGGTAAGGCTGTTGCTTTGGGCTCTTTTGGGCTGGATTCTGCCAGCCCCAATATCTCATTCACACTTTTCTCAATGTCCTTCTGAAGGTCATCTATATGACCAGCTCCACTTTTGACAGCATTTTCTTGCACATCTGGACACTCTTCTTCATTGCATGGGCCTTCTATGTCACTATCATATGCATCTGCATTTATGCTGAGGACATCACTATCTTCGCCTTTGCCTGTAACACAAATGTAACAATCATATAGTGTTTCCAGGAAGTCTAAAAGAAAGATTTCCATTTCATCTTAAAAATTGCTTCTGCTTAAAGTGTTTCTCTGCAGATTCAGAGTGCCAAAAATATCTATAAAATAAAGACAACAATTTCCTCTTTTTCCCTCCTCCTCCAATTTTTAAGGCTGATCTAATTTAGACAAGTTTTAATGGATTTTTATTCCAATTTACAAGAACATGCAGCACAGCAAAGCAGCAGTGTCTGGAAAATTTATTCTGTCATACAGCGTTATATGATCTATTTTCCTAATTAAAATGTCAGAAGGTTTTAGATCACAATGAAACCCCTGCAGTGTAAAATGAGAACTGATGCGGGAAGACTCTGGGATTGATCACGGTGTATTATTTGTAAAGTAAACTTAATCTGCAAAATATAATTCAAAAGAAGACACTTTAAAAACTTTCATGTATTTTAAAAGCAGGAGGACATTGTAGCTGAACAGGACACTAAATATTGATAGGAAACTTCCTTTACAGTGCACTTATTCAGAACCTATCACACAAGTATTTCAGATGTATTTAGTTCAGGCCGATAAAATATAGGGAAGGTTCTGGCCCCGGTTTTTAATGCCTACTAAAGTTTGGCTTTATTACAAGAATAATTAGAAAAGGCAGTGCAGTAAAATAAAAGCAAAACTAACAAACCTTCGTAACTGACCTCATAATTTGACTACAGAGAAACTATTGCTTTTGGCACCTTTGCCTCAGAAATTACTAGTGCTTGACCAACCTTTGTATCTCTGGACGGTTACCAATAATATTGGTTTATGCTTAAAGTGAACAGTTCATAGCCAGAGGAAAGTAAAGCCACCGATTCTAAAAGTTTCATAATTTTGCTGGGCAGCACCGCCATGCAACAGCTAAGGCTGTGTCTCCAGTTAGTCAGGAATGAGGGTTTAGAGCTATAGACCTGTATTTTTGAAATACATATAATTTCTTACTATGAAGATTCAAACACAGTTTAAGTAGCTCTTATGTGAGCTACTTTATTCCATAATAATCCTCTAACAAAAATAGTATGTATGTAATATATATTTAGACTGTATGGTAAACCTGTTCGCCTTTACATTTTAAGTCTTTAAAAAAAAATCCAAAAAAAACAAACCTCCTTAAAATTAAGTCTTTTGACATCTGTTTTTAAAATGTTCTCTTTCACTGAGCTGTTTTTAAGAATTACTAGCTTTCTCCATCCATACCTTAGTTCTGAATCTCACATCTCCAGGGCTACAAGTATTACTGATTTGTGAGTATTGCTTATCAACAACGATAAAAAAACCTGATATACTGGAAACCAATGCAAACTAAGCAGTCAGTTTTCTTTATGCTCAGACTACAAAAAAATATATTAATAATGCAGTCTGACGCAAGAGGGACCTATGATTTGAATACCTTTTGCTAATTATGTTCCTATTACTAGCTTTTTTTTTTTCCTTGAAGATGATTACATTTACTGTTTTGTTCTCGGAAAACTTCTGGAAACAATTTACTATCATTCTTCCAGATAAAAACTTTCCTTTGAGGACTTGGGTTTCAGTTCAACACAAATAATTCTGTCCCCTTTCATAAAGGGTTAAGCATCTTTGGAAGAACATTTTTAGAAGTCTTTGTTTTAAGCCGTTAGTGTTTCAGTGCCTTTGATTATAAAGGACTTCTTCAAAAATGCAGTAAAAATAACGGGAGGCATTTCTTGAAAACATAAGCAAGAACTGAAATACTCTGCATGCACATAGTGGATCATATTTGCTTCTTCATCCTTCTGCAAACTCCTCTGCTTCAGTGGAAGTTCTGTGCCAAGATTAGCAGTAGAAGAGGGACTACCAAAAATTAAATTTTTCCTTGTTGAAAATTTTAAGCAACAAATCTTAAAAGAAATCAATTTTACTGTTAAGAGAAAGACAAACAGGCTTTAGAAAAAAAATCCAATTCTTCTTAAAAATCCAAACAGAATTGTTTTTTTTGGTGCAAGTATGCATTTACTTATTCATAGCAGAGAAGATAAACCTTTAGAAAACAATTTTCTTTGCTTTTACGACAAAACTGCTATCCTGAGGTGGGAGGAGGAATCAATACCACATACAGAGATATAAGATATAAATGCAGTATGTGTATGGGCCAGGAAGCTGGGCAAAACTGCTTTAGGTTCCACTCAGAATTTGAAGCCTCCAAAAGAGTATAATGCACAGTATTCATATAGCCACATGGACATTTAAATGTTATTTAATTAGCTGATGGACTTCATTTCCCTCTTGGGACAGTTATTTCCGACATTACTGTCTACAGCTAGTCTAAATGAAAATAAAAGAGATAGAAACAGCAAAACTTCTAGTGCTTCACATACAAAATAATACTGGCAGTTGCTATTCAGTGTTCATGTAATGACAGCAATTGACAGATAAAGATCCATGTTAAGGAAGTGGTTTCCTTAAACAGCAGGTACTTATGTGTATATTGTTCATTTATCTGCCTTTGCATTTCCTATTCTGCTAGTCACTGTAGCACCTGAATATCTACCCACTGCAGTTTTGCATTTAAAAAGAGAAAATATGCAGTGCAAAATTTCCCCCTCAGAGATCCAAAAATTGGAGTGTGTACTTCCAGTGGCATTGACTTCAACTGAAATGAGCCAGTCATCAGGAGTGGTGGGTGTTAAGAACCATTTAGATGGCCCTCAGCTCTGCAGTCAGACAAAGCAAAAAAAATCACATATGAAGACTTAAGAGAATGATTAAATTACAAACAGTGTTTTGGCAGACAATTATTATAACGGAAATGTCAAAACAGATTCCTGCAGTCTCATATGATCATTTCAACACGATATAAATCTGGCTCTCAAAGAATCTAGAGAGTAACAACAGCAGCATTAGCAACCACTTATATATCACAGAATCACAGAACAGCCAAGTTTGGAAGGGACCTCTGGAGATCATCTAGTCCAAGCCCCTTGCTCAAGCAGGGTCACCTGGAGCACGTTGCACAGGACCACGTCCGGGCGGGTTTTGAATCTCTCCAGCAAAGGAGACTCCACTACCTCTCTGGGCAACCTGTGACAGTGCTCTGTCACCCTCACAGGAAAGAAGTTTTCCCTCAGGTTCAGACAGAACTTCCCGTGTTCCACTTTGTGTCTGTTGCCTCTTGTCCTGTCGCTGGGCACTGCTGAAAGAAGTCTGGCCCCATCCACTTGACAGCCTCCCTCGAGATATCTATATGCATTGATCAGACCGCCTCTGAGTCTTCTCTTCTCCAGCATAAACAGGCCCAGCTCGCTCAGCCTTGCTTCACAGCAGACATGCTCCAGTCCCTTCATCATCTTAACAGGCCTCTGCTGGACTCCCTCCAGCAGTGCCATGTCTCTCTTGTCCTGGCGAGCCCACAACTGGACACAGTACTCCGGATGTGGCCTGCCCAGGGCTGAGGAGAGGGGGAGGAGCACCTCCCTCCACCTGCTGGCAACACTCTGCCTAATGCACCCCACGATCCCATGCGCCGCCTTGGCCACAAAGGCACACTGCTGCCTCCTGCTTCACTTGTTGTCCACCAGCACACCCAGGTGCTGCGCTGCAGAGCTGCTTTCCAGCAGGGCAACCCCCAGCCTCTCCTGCTCCATGGGCTTCTTCCTCCCTAGGTGCGGCAGGGCCAAGGCCCTTTCCTTTGGTGAACTTCAGCAGGTTGCTCTCCGCCCATCTCTCCAGCCTGGCCACGTCCCTCTCAAGGGCAGCACAGCCTTCTGGGCTCTCAGCCTTCTCCCCCCAGTTTAGTATCATCAGCAAGCTTGCTGAGGGTGCGCTCTGTCCCTTCCTCCACGTCATGGATGAATACATTGAACAAGACTGGAGCCAGGACTGACCCCTGGGGGACACCGCTAGCTACAGGCCTCCACCTGGACTCTGCGCCACTGACCGCAACCCTCTGAGCTCTGCCATCCAGCCAGTTCTCCATCCACCTCACCGGCCACTCATCTAGCCCACACCTCCTGAGCGTGCATGTGATGGGAGAGAGTGTCAAAAGCCTTGCTGAAGTCTAGTGGAAGACAACATCCACTCCTCTGCCCTCACCTACCCAGCCAGTCATTCCATCAGAGAAGATCACCTTCTTGTCCTCCGTATGCTTAGAGATGACCTCCAGGAGGAGCTGAGCTGTTCCCTCAGCTTTCCAGGGCTGGAGGTGAGGCTGACAGGCCTGGAGTTTCCTTGATCTTCCTTCTTGCCCTTTTCGAAGACTGGAGTGACAATGGCTTTCTTCCAGTCCTCAGGCCCTTATCCTTTTCTCCAGGACCTTCCCAAGATGATGGAGAGTGGCCTAGCAATGACGCCCGCCAGCTCCCTCGGCACTCCGGGGAGCCTCGGGGACCATAGATTTGTGGATGTCACGTTTGCCCAAATGATCTCTAACCCGATCCTCCTCCACCAAGGGAGAGTCTTCCTCTCTCCAGACTTTCTCTCTTGTCCCCAGGGTCGGGAATTCCTGAGGGCTGCCCTTATCAGGAAAGACTGAAGCAAAGAAGGCTTTCAGAATCTCTGCCTTCTCTGTATCCGTCATTACCAGGGCACCCACCCCATTCAGCAGCGGGCCCACGTTTTCCCTAGTCATCCTTTGGCTCTTGATCTATTTGAAGAAGCCCTTCCTGTTGTCCTTGACATCCCTTGCCAGATTTAACTCCAAATGGGCCTTAGCCTTCCTTGTCGCATCCCTGCATACTCGGACAATATGCTTGTATTACTTGCAAGTGGCCTGTCCCCTTTCCCACCTTCTGTAGACTTCCTTCTTCTGTTGGAGTTTTGCCAGGAGTTCCTTGCTCATCCATGCAGGTCTCCTGCCCACTTTGCTGGACTTCTTACTCAGAGGGATGCACTGCTCTTGAGCCTGGAGGAAGTGATGCTTGAATATTAACCAGCTTCCTTGGACCCCTCTTCCTCCTAGGGCCCTACCCCAGGAGATTCCTCCAAGTAGGTCTGTGAAGAGGCCGAAGTTAGCTCTCTTGAAGTCCAGGGTTGCGATCCTACTTATTGCCCTGCTTCCTCCTTGCAGGATCCTGGACTCCACCATCCCAAGAAACTGAAAAGACTCAAGTTTCTCTTTAGCTGAAAAGCTAGATATGAGGAGCCAAAGACGACTTGCAAGAGCCTTCAGTCATGTCCCCCTCCACTACATTCCCTACTCCCGATGCTAAACTAGCAAGCTTTGAAGAGCTGTGATTCGCTTATTCAAGCTACAAAACCCTCCAGTCCCACAGAACTGAGGAGCCAACATTTCTACAATGAACTTTTTCAATGATCCCTTGTCCTTTTTTGCAACTGGGCCTGATGGAGAGGCTGTAACCCTGTGCCATCTGATTCCTCTGAGGATGCTTCTCTGTGATTAAAGCTACCGTTCAAGAGATAGGTACGAGCTATTTAGAACTAGTCACTAGCCTAGCATCAGGAGTACAAAATTTCCATTTCTCTACTGCATACCTTGTTTTGATTCCTGACCTTCGAGCTTGTTGTCTTCTCTCAGAGATGAAGTAGAGTCTATACTGTTGTCCTGTCTGGAGGTAAATAAGAAGACATTTTTGTCTATGCATTTTACAACATAAAGAGGACTTTTCAAAGAAATGTCTGCTTTACATTAAAGAAACTATACGGTGGTAGGCTGAAATGCCAGCTACTGTATAAAAAAAGTGAAACAAATTCACATACTGCTATTCTAAGCACTTGAGAAAAAGCTTTTTCACTTTGCTCTCCCTAATAATACACAACGCTAAAGTAATTGCTCTCATTACACTAGTACTTCAGAATAATAACCCTCAGTGGCAGTATCTCCCTAATATGAGGAGCCTGTCTCCAAAACTCAAAAACAAATCACCACACAGCTAAATAATTTGAAAACTATACTTTCAGTTGTATTCAAATACTATTTATTCTTTTATTTTCGAATTAAGTAGCTGTTTTCATGAAGGAACTATTACCCTACCACCACCTACCTTTCCTGTAGGAAAATCCCACATTTTTACAAAGAATTGCTTTTTAAAAGCAAATGCTTTTAAACTATTATGTTCTGTTCAGTCTCTGTTTCTCCACTTTAATATACACAAATTTTTCCTGCATTTTAAGGATTTTTGCATTCGACCTTTAAGGTTTCATATGCTTTATATACGGTATAAGGAAGAGACGTTTCTGTGAAACGTTCATCCTCCCTCCTACATCTCCCACATGCACTACTTATGTGAGTTGTGAAAATATAAATGAGAAATTGTGAAATATACAGGAAGAAGGAAGGACTGTGTTCACAGAAGGTCCCAAAACCACAGCTGCAGTCCACATATTTAATGAGCATTTTGACAGCAGAATTGCCAGCTTCTTAGGTTTAAAACACATTATATTCATATGGAATCAATGCAGCCAATCTGTCTGTAGGAGCTAAAACAGTACCATAAAAAGGACAGAGATATTGTGATATCACAGATGTAAACATAATGACTTTAGTAACTTGTTTTCCAGTAATGGCCTGAAAGCTTTTCCTAAAGCTGAATACAGATTCATTTTCCTAAGGCTGTCAAAAATGTATTTTTGTTTCAGAAGTCCAATGATCATGGTAGGATGGAGAACATGGCAATATTTCTAGCCAGATTGGTTCAGAGAGTTATTTTGATGGTTATTGCCTTTTCTACAGTAGCAAAGGTTACAAATCAATTCACTCTGTTTCTCCTACATGTTTTGTGCCCACTGCAACATAAACACTTATGCAGATATGAAACAAATGAAAGCAGCTGCTCTTTCTCATTATCATATGGACATAGCATTCAAAAAAAAAAAAGACTAAAAAATGCTTTGCATCAGTAGAAAATGATCACTTTAAGTACAGAACTCCAAGAGAAATCTACTGCCAATTGGCATTATTCTAAACTAGGGTTAGACTATTTACTGTGATATATTTTTCTCTGAACATCTCATTGGTGTGTTTTCCTTTAAGTCTGCTTCCCTACTTACTCATCTCAAAAAGTATTCTCCTAAGCCTAGCTTTGTATAATTTCTGTTTCACATTCCACTCCCAGAAAGGACTGAGAAAGAAAGAGCAGATACAAACTAGATGTACAAATAGATATATTGAACAGAAAGCTGTGCATATAGGCTAATCTCCTTATAAAAATCACTCAAACTTTGCCTGCTCATGTACAAAGAATTTACTCATTTATTTTCTATTTCAGTCCTCAGTTTTGCACCAGAAAGGCCAGAGGTGTTCCAAGATGGATTACAGCCTGCACCTGTTAGATGCAGAATAAGCCCAGGAGTTCTGCAAATAAATTGAGTCTCCTGTATTTGACGGATTAAACTTGTTAACCAGGGTCTTCTGTCATGAGGAGGAAAAAACAACAGATAATATGACACTACCACGCTCAGTCTATTAGGGGGACCAAGCAAAGGAAAGGGTATCAGGAAACGTTTTCCCACTCGTACACATAGACATACAATTACAGTTAACTGAGTCCCATCTCAATTACTACTCCAGTGAGCCTGCATAGTGTAGCCTGGGGTAAATGCAACAATCCCTCCCACTTCTCAGTGTCATGCTCCAGGCAGTGGCTTGGAAGCAAAGCCTAACTGGTGCTCTGCTTTTAGACAGCATCAGACATCACATAGCGATGTTTCTCCACTGATCTCTACTACTGGATGGGATTATGTTCGGTGCCAGCACAGACTGTCAATTAAATCAGTCCACAATGGTATCACAGCACGCCTTTGCAGGAATTTCAGGTTTTGTTCTCCTGACACCTGCAGAGGCACAGCCAAGGCTCGCCAAGCTTAGTTCTTGTTTGCACTGTCCTGTCCATTACGTTATGTGACTATGTGTTAATCACCATCAACAGAGAGGCCCAGTGAGGAGCAGAACAATGACAAGCAAAACAACTCCAGTAATCTAATCAGTGCAGGGACAGTAGCCTGACCGAGCTGCTCCTAGGGCTGCCAAAGGAAAGCAACCAGCCCATTGTCCAGATCTGAAACCTCATGAGACCAGTCAACTGCAGAGGCTCTCCAGATCACCCTACAGACTGAAGGGTCTCCTTATGGGATGCCACAAACTGCACCTGGGGACTGTGTAAAACTTACTACGGGATGTTTTTAAGAGCATTGTGGAAATGTGTGAGACATTATGGGAAGTTTAGAGAAAGGATTAAAGGTGAGAAAGGGGGATAACAGGGGCCAGTACAGCATAAACAGGTTGCTTGTTAGTACATTTTTCTGGCCAAACCCTGCACCTGATAACTGGAGTCTATTCTGTCTTCATATTAAACTCTACTGCTAACTATTCTTGTGAATGAGTGAGCTCATGTGTATGTAAGTAAGTGCCAGCAACTGGACAGACTGGTGTATGCATACACTTGCTTAGGGAACTTCAATACTGTGCCTTAGTGTGCATGCAGATATATGTAATTTCTGACCACACTTCAAGTTAAGATTAACCAGCAAGGGGGATAAGAGGTTTCGAAGCCAGTTATCAGAGAGACTGTAAGGTCTGGGGCGACGTTCCAGAGAGAGACTGGGATTTGCAAGCAGGCAGCTGGAAGGACCACATGTCCAAGCTAGATATCGAAGAAACCAGGGGACTAAGAGTCAGCTACTACAGACATCTTAGGTCTGGACCAGCTACCGGAGAGACTTATGCATTGCACACGCATGCATATGCAATGCAAGTCCGAATACCAGCAGCTGGAGTGGGGCCGTAAACCTGGGGGGCTCATACATCCAAGTGCAAGCAACCAGGGAGACTAAGGGATCTGGGACTTGCTACTGGATTGATTGAGGGTCAAAGGCCATCTACACACTCATACATTAATACACATATATGTGCATTTATTCCACAAGTAGTCTTCCATCCTGATCAGCTGGAGAAGAGGAACAGGATGAGGCCATCCATACTGTTAGCTTGTGCAAGTGCTACTCCTAGCAACTTTAGCAACTCCTGCCACTGTCAACCACAATTCAGCAATACTCAGTCACCCAACTCTTGACCAAGATGAAGTCACAAGGCCCTCATAATAACTACTCATCACTAAGAGCAAAAGGTGCAGGGTCTGCAAGCTTCTGCCACTCCTATCCCATCCTCTCTCTCACACACATACTTCATCCTTTTGAACTGAGTGGTCATCTCAGCGCCTGATAGCAACGTGTTGCTTGGGAAGCTCCGATTTTGTGCAATTATATAGTTTTCAAAAAGAAAAAGTCAAGAAACTTCAAGTCCTTGATAATAAAGTTCTTATTTCCCAGAGTCCTGAAGCCAAATTTCACTGAAGAAATACAATTACCCATTTAACAGAAATTTCAGAGTGACCTCTATGGAGCTTGTTTCAAACACAGACAGAGAAACGAATTACAACTCTTTTTTTTTTGGTAGCTATTAAAAGAAATTATCAACTAAAAAAATCACACATCAAAACTTGCTGTAAAAATCTATCCCTGTTGCCTAAACAGTACCAACGGCTACAGTAAAACAGGCTCCTATAAAGACTATCTACTGTCAGAAAAACAATTTTTCAATCCCAGAAGTAATCTTTTACAGCATATTTTACTTTATCAGAACTGGCTGGGTTGGACTGGACTGTTGAGCAAGCTTCTCTACTTAATAGTCAGGTATTTTGCACCATCTTGTGGCCAGCCACCAGTAGTTCAGTTTACAGCTCAGTTTTGCTCTCTGCCCATTAACCTTATTGGTAAGCAACATTTTTTTCAAAACCGGAAAAACAGATTTAAGAAAGGGGAATGTAAATTGCACCTCTAAACAATGGGAGCAGAAGACATATTAATCTAAAACTAAGGTAATGACACAGTGTAGAAATCTACTATCTTCTTCTTTCATGTCAGCGTTGCTTAGTAAGTGACCACATTAATTTGGAGCTCTTTTTATGTTATCAAAGGTTATCTCTCCCTTAGAATGATAGCTAAGTTCAAGGTCACTCTTCAAAGAGACAAACCATGATTTTTTTTTTTAAAATAGAGAAGATTTTTTTTAAAATAGAGCAAGGAATCTTCACTCAACAAATTTTAACAGCATGTTCTTTTCAGCAGAGAGGATCTCTGCTGAAGTTGGCTGTAAACTGAAATTTGCTCTACTCTGGCCTTTCATGCTGTTATGCCCCACAGCAGCACAATGCTTAGCTGGGCTTCATGCACTTGCGTTCTGTGCAACACCCAGTACTTTCAGGAATTTTCATAGCTATCAGGTAATCAGGGGTCGAGGGCGAGTTCGTACCACAGTTTTAGCAGATTATGCACAGTGCAGTAAGATATCAGCAGAGGTTAGGGAAAAGGCTACTGGCTGGAGGTGTGGACAGCTACAGACTGGAGTTCCAAGCAACAGCAGTAGCTGGGTGTTGGTGATCCAACAAGAAAGAAGAGATCTGTGGCAGAAACAGCAAAGGTTATGAATTACTGGACTAGAGGACAATCTGACAACATGAGGTACCATCCTAAGGCTTTAAATACCTGTACATTTGACTAGAAAAAATGGACTCTATCCAGCTCCAAAGCTGTTTTGGAGAAATTCCAGTCTGCAGATCAAGCCTCATCAAGGCTTGATGAATTAACCTTAAAACATAAGTCACTTGCTTATACTAAAGTTCAAGGCCTCACATTTTCCTTACAGGACTTCTTAATGGTCATTAAGAAACATTCGACTAAACTCTGGAGTGAGGCTTGAGCTCCTCTGACATAAAGAAAATGTACACACCTAAGGTAAATTGTCTCTTTGCAGTTTCACTTCTAAAAATCCCTTCTATAAATTATAAATTCCCATAAGCTCCCTGCAACTTTTTTTCAATTAAAGGGTAGGCTTCCAAGGCAAATGAGTACTAAAATGATTAACGGCAACAATTGGGGGGGGGAGGGGCACAGAAAAAAATCCTTATGAACTACTGCCCCCATGAAAAACTATGTCAAATGACAGATTCTAATCAAACAGTTAATTGTGCTACGAAAAGTCCTTCAGTCCCATTACAAGCGCAGTACAAGACCACAATGAGAACAAAAGACAGTGAACAGATGCCAAGTGCTAATACATCCTACTCAGTGACTCAGGTAATCCGTTCTTCCAGTGATTCCAAATGGCGGAGATAATCAAATTGTCCTAGAGTAGTCAAACATCAGATAGCAATTGCATGTTTGAGATCAGTTCAGTATCCAGGAGCAAGAGATGTTAAAACAAAGGAAACATTTAAACTGATAACCTTTCTAAAAGAAACTGAGCAAAAATTGTACTTGTGACAGCAAAGTAGCAAAAAGCCTTTAAAACTCTTCCAGCTGTGAATATTAAACTGCAAGTTTTCACATGTTGAAGACATAAGCACATGAAATTTCAGAGCAAAAGATAATTTGCTCCCATTACACACATTAACATACGATCACTATAAACTATAATGGTATGTTTCTTCTCATACTACATGTTCTGTTACTACAGCCAATAATACACTTTCAGTCCTTCTGTCAGAGCATATTTAAAGAAACAGTTCAGGAAATGCAAGAGAAATAGCTTAAGAACGTGTTTATACCTTTGAAATGAGATGGAAAGAATGCATAGGTGGTTTTGAAGGATGCTAATTGGCTGACTCCTTTCAACTAACAGTGCCATTTAGTTGGAAAGCTTGGCCTACAGCAATTCTCTTGACTCAACAGTATTCCGTGACGGAACAGAAAGACAGAAACAAATAAAAGTAAAGATTTGAAAACTGTCTACTTAAGTTCTCAAAGGACCACATCTATTGTAACAGCAATTTTCAGTTTTTGGCAAACATAGGTCCTGATGCTTCTGTCCTTCTGCATTATTATGAATGACAGAATAAATGTTTTTGCATGCTGATGGAAAGAGCCGAAGCTTTTTACAGAGCTGAACTTTTAAGAAAAGCCTCAGAATCTCAGAATGAGGACCTCCATATATGTATCAGAAAAATGAAGGTTGAAACTGCAATTACAGACATGATGCTATCTAAGGGCTTCAGATTAAGATCTGAGTTTTGCGACTTGGAATCATCTCTATACCTAGAGAAGCTTCTCTAAATGCCTGCTACTTTCAGGTACACAGATGAAGTTAGATTTAAGCAGGTCTTTGGAGAGAAATGTGTATTTGCATAACACTCTTCCAGGAAAGCCTCTGTATTTTGATATTTTTGATTCTCTTCACATGTGTTGGTTTAAGCCTTCTGGATTGCTACTGATAAACAGGCATTGCTGAAGCTTGTAAATATTTTTTTAAACCAGAACTGGGACCAAAGAAACAAATCAAGCTCATCTTCCTAACAAGATAATAAATCCGACTAGATTGTCACATTTACATGTCCATCCAAGCAACCAAGACAAAGAGGATTTAAAACAAAAAAAAGTTCTAAAGTTCTATTATTGATATAATGCAGAAAAATGTAGCCTTTTACAAGAAACAAAACACTGACAAATTATACTGAATCTTCAGTGAGAGTATAAACAAAGGAATTGCTATTTTTTTCTGAAAAACCTTTTCTCTTCCCAGGACAGATAAATTTGCCCATTTAAACTCAAATATAATCAAAAACATTAACGACCATAAATAACATAAGGTTACTTCAGCAACAGTGTTTTTGCTCTTTCTTCACTGTTGCATCTTCAACTTCTCTGCTACTGACTTGCTGCTGCTCTGGCTGACACATTTGTTTGAAGTTCTTCAAAGTTACACTTATATTCTCACACAGGTTGAGAAAAAAACCTCAACTGAAAGGAGAAAGATAAACGTACCACAACTCCCACACCAAAATATCATGCCTCTGCAGTTTGGAGGAGTTTGAAGTATCAAAGTCTTCTAACAGTACGGAGAGGGAGTTACAAGAAGCAGAGGCATCTCAACAATTCTCTCTTTCAGTCAGAGCCTGTCAGTTTCTTGTTCTGCTTTAATACTTTCTTCTCAATTTTGCTATCATCACTGCTCACTTCTTTCTCATCAGCTAAGTAAAGTGACCTAGCTATTTAGTTTCTTAGCAGAAATGCTATTAGCATTGCAGCAAAGATTAAAGAAGCTGATCAGTTTTAATTCTGCTGCACTTTTACATAGCTATGAGAGAGATTAGACGACGCCAAATCACTTTAGTTACCCACTGTTTATGCCTAGAAGGTTTTCTGTACAGTAGTGAGGACGGTAAACTCAAACACAGTTTAGATCCTACAGATGTTCATGCTGTTTTCCTGGGAAAGCTTCCTACTTGACATGGCCAAGTGGCACAGGCTTGCTCAATGCCTTCAGACAGAATTACAATTTTTAACTAGTGACTATTTTTTCTTTATTCTGTTGCATTTTATTTATTAAGTGACAATAATTTCCACCTTGTAGATTTCTCCCAGCTCAAGTCATTACTTTATTCACATACTGAGTAAAATTTTACTCAGTCTTCTGCAGCTGGAGGTTATAATTAAATGTTTTGAACAGTGGGTTTGAAATACCTTGGGGCCATGGAACTACCGTCCCGAAATCTGGCAGCATGGAATGAGCCATTCCTCTCTGCAATAAAGATCTTCTGAATTAGGCCTTTAAAAATATATAGATATATCTATATCTCTCACAGAATTCCTTCAGATATCAACATTGTGTGTCATTTTTCATGATGTTCTTAGCCAACAAGTCCACCCTATTTAAAAGTTCACTGGTAAAACATCAGTCACTGGTAAAGAAACTTTACATAAAGAGACCTGACATTTAGTTAAAAAAAAAAAAACAAAAAACCACAAAACAAGGAACTGTTCAGCAGAAGGTAAAGACCAAAAGATTATATTAGTCCACATAAATTCACAGACCATGTGAAAAACAAAGCAAAGAGGACAATACAGTCCGAGTAGCTCCCAATGGAAACCTAAAAGAAACAGTGTCAGAGGGTACTAAAATTGCACCACACTTGGAAAAAATTGAAACATCACACATCTTATTATCTCTACATTCCATAGAGTTTTTCTGCTTTTAAGAACCTGACGTGTGACAAGACGAGATTAAAGAAAACCACTTTAATAACTTCGTAACCTCTTTAGGCCAAAATTAAGATGAGAAACTAGGTCTGTTGACTCAAAACACTGATGAGACTGTGACATTTGAAGTACTGTCATCATCCCTTCCATCTCTCTATTTCAATTTAGTAAATACAGAAGAACTAACTAAATGAGCAACTAAAAGGTATCTTAATCAGCCCAAACCTGGTATAAGTCAACTATGTCTCAAGAGTGATTATTAAGTTTATGCACTGCATCTGTGGACCAGCTGTAACTGAGTCAGCATCCAAGAACGCAAAATTACAGCTTTCATACATGATTGTTGTATTGTAAGAACAGGACTGGACTCATAACAGTTGATATATTGTGCCTGATGACGTAACTTTTTTTTTTCCCCCCTTAACTACTTTCCTTAAAAACTCTCAGACAGGGTTCACTCCTTCTGTAAAGGAGGGAATCAGTAACATGTTACGCAGGACTTTTCTCTTTAAAAGACAGAACTAAAACACAAGGATGTTAAGAAGTGTTGTCCTTTTTAAAACTGACTGATGCCAGCCCAGCAATAAGCAACCAGTAACCTCTACTTGAAATCCTAAACGTTATATAAGGTCCACAGCAGAGAGCATGGTATCAGGTGAGTGACAGCACTACTCCAACTGCAGCACGAAACAAAGACCGCAGGAGGAGGGGGGAAAGGAAGAGATCTCTCAGCTGAACCAAAAATAACTCTTAGCACTGTTCACTGACTTAAACGTGAAGGGGTTATTCAACCTGCTTTAACTCAGTGAAAGAGGGTTAAACTAAATTATATTACAACACTTTTGCTGAAGGCTAAGTGTGTGCATAGTTCGATTTGCACTACAACTCAACTGATAAGCAATAATGCCACTACAAAATTCAGTTATGTGCCTAAGACAAATTCGATGCTATAGAGTGACAAAGCCATGTTTTTAAGTTTAAGTAACATTTTAAGTAATGCTGCTAGCAATAACAGATCATTGTCATTCCACTGGATTAACCTCATAATTAAGGATATAGTGATTAGGTCTTTCAATGTTATGTTTGCTCATTTCTCATGAGAAATCCAGGTATCGTTCAGTATTTCTAAATTAAATTTCAAAGTGTTTTTTTTTACTCACTGACTGACTGATTCACCTCCAGTCTTGTCTCCTCCATCTGCATCCTCATCAGTATCAGAATCAGCTCCATTCTTGCCTAAACATATACAATTTCAAACATATGAAAATTCAACCAAGGAACAGACTTACTGTTACATAGTTAGTTTCGATGATTAATTCTACTTGAGCTAAGGAGAATTTTTTTCCCCCTCTGAAAGAAATGTACTAAAATTCAACTTACCCGTGCACAAAAAGTGATTTCTGAAATAGCTACTTGCCACAAGCTAAGACTAGCATTTTTATAGCATTCTTCTATTGTATTTAATTACTTAATAACCGAGAATTGGTATTTCTAGTACTGAAGTCAAGCATAAGAAACACGAAGAACTAATAGAAAATGCCCTGCCAAATGGAAGTACCAGAGCACTCCACGTAATTGACAAGATAGTAACATTATTTCAGAAGCTAGCCCTTAAATATCAACTGTAAATTCAATAAGGTATTGAAAAGCTAGAATGCCATATCCTAAACAAGGCATGCAAACTGTATGTCTCAGCAGAGCACAGGCATGCACGCACCAAAGACCTTTTACCTACACTGAGTGCAATTGCTAATACTACAATACGTCACAATTCTCCCTGGAGAGATCCAGGAGGCAGCTTAACGTTAATTTACCTAAAGCAATGGATTTCAAACAATATTTCTACATTCCTAACTTTGTTTGTTTACCCTGAAATCCAAAAATTTTATTTTTGAGTGTTAAGGACAGGAAACTTATACTGCTGTGCTCCAAACAGGTCCCTAAGAGCTTCTGAAACTGTTGGATGACTTCATTCGAGTTTAAAAGATCAAAAACAGGATATATAGTAGTACAGATATATGCTGTAGATTCAAAATAGGATATATCACCTGCACACAGAGAAAAGACCTGAAGGCAGCCTTACTTTTTTTTTTTTTTTTTTAAAAAGGGGATCACTGTACATTACAGAAGAAAAGTTTCATTCATACCTTCAAGAATCTTCAACAGTTTTTTTTCAGATAACAGCTCCAACTGCTCCAAGCAAAGCCTTTTAATTTCCTCCATGGAACAGTTCTAAGAAGACAGATAAGACATATCACGAGCTACTAAACATTTCTCAGGACAGAACGATATGAACGATATGAAAGATAGAAAGCTCTCCAATCCAATCCCACTAAAGTGAAGCTAATATAGATTGCAAGTCCCTTCTCTATTCCGACTTGCATTGATGCAATTACTGAAAAGCCCCAGGTAGGTGTTTCAATTGTAACAGTCACCAAAAATTATGCTTTTGAAAAATTAAGCAATAAATAGTATCGGTTACTTGACCTACAGCTGGGAATCTTCATTGTCGTTGTAACACTGAGCAGTGGAAACACTGAGGCATAGCAGTTCAGTATGAAACAGTAAGCCAATTGTAGTCCAGATTACTCCTAATTCTCCATTACTATGAAACACGTGGATTACATAACCCAGTCTGCACAGACCAGGGCTGACTGTAGGATTCAAACTCAGAAACTGAAGCAAACACTGCTATTGACAAAACACCAACAGGAAACATGAGAAATATTAAATTATGATCCATTTCTCAGGCTTCATATGTACCTTTCTCATGCTTCATACATAACATATAAGCTTCATAACTCATGTATACAACACCTTGTCACAAAGCGTATGCGTTTCCCAGTTAACTTCGTATTTTTTTAAACCTTTTCGAACATCATCCAGTTCTGTCAAAGTCTGGACAGAGTCCTCTTTATGAAGTGATAGTTCATTTAGAAGCATGAAACTATGATGCATGTACATGTATCAAAATTAGCAAGTGCTGAGCACATTGTAACACTGATGCTACTGTAGGTTTAGCTCTACACCACAAAGTTCTTTGCTTCCAATTCAGTAATGCTTTTGCCTCCACTGACTCCAGACCTCCTTTCTTCTCCCAGAGAACAACAGATGAGATTGCATGCAATTCATTAAGAGCTTACAGTGAGTAAACACTGCCTCAGTTATATTCACAACGTGACTCTCAGATTAACACAAAAACTGAAAAACAATCAAACATTTTACCTGCAGATTCTTCCGCACAGGCTGCTATTCTAATTTCTTTACTGAGTCCTCTAGTTCACAAGACTCAAAAGTGCATGTTCCAAGCCAGTAAAACTCTAGAGATAGAGTCCACAGAAGTTACAATTTCTAGAAGCTATTTATCCAGGAGGGCTTTTATTGCTTTGCCTCAGACTTTAAATTAATGACATACAAAGAAACTCAGCTGACACAAATATAATTCAAACTTTCATAACAAATCAGCACAAGTATTACTGAATAACGTTACTGAATTAACTATTTATCCAGTTATGGAACCCCATTTGCATATGACTAACCAGTACAGATGAAAGGTGTAAAAATAAACAGCCTGCAACTCAGCAACAGCTGAGCCACAGAAAAAGCATTAAGTTAGAACTATACCAAATCTCAAAAATGTCCCACTTTCAAACTTTACATAACCTTGATTTAAGAAATAAGATAGGCAGGTTTTTAGTTGGAAGCCCTCTAGACTTAATAGAGAAACGTGGTTTCTTCCAAAAGCTTGCTTCTTCAAGCTTGCAAAATCAGTATAAAAAGCAAATGTATATTAGTACCTTTAAAATATCAGGCAGCATCTTCTGTAGTTTCTTCTCCCCTATGACACAGAAACACTGTTGAAGCATTTCTTTTTTGTCTGCGATGTAGAAACTGACTGGTTTGAGTGACACGCTGAGATCTAATCCACCTTCCTCTATATCACTGGGTTGCTCAGCTTCTTCCTCTTTTTCTCCAGATGGTACATTGCATTTTGCTTCCTAAAATTGAGTGGGAAAATACAGTTTCCATGTTTTCCAGTGAACTAGAAAAGAAGAAAACTTACAGCTTCATTTGTGCTAGCAATAGTTCTTCCTTCAGAACTTTTTACCATTGCAAGTGACTTACAAGCTTCCAAATATTGCTTTAGTTTGAAAGGTAATTGCACTGGGAAAGTTGCATAAAGATGGTTTCGGTACATAAGAGAAACTTTTACAACCCTTTAAGAGGCAAAGAGTAGTTTTCACTATCAATGAGAAAGTACTATCTGCAAATGAAATTGATTCATTTAGTTGTGCTGTAAACATAAATAGAAGCAGCAATAAATCAATTTCTCCTTTTTCCTCTTCTTTTTTTTTTTTTGTTTTGCACAGTTAAAGCATTAATCCGTTAACTTAAAAGTACCCTGCTGAAATTGAGATTTGCAAGCAATACCATTTGTAGGATAGTTTTCTGAAAAAAAAAAAAAAAGTGAGTTTCATATCAGAAAGTTCTATCAGTGGAAGACATGTACAGTTAACAGACAAGAATATATTTTGAAGGTGCTGAGATTCACTCAGGAATTAGATTCATGTGGCCTGCAGTGTACCTCAGAGCCAAAACTTATTAGAATACACCCATAGTTTTGAAAAACGAGCGTCACAATTCAGGTCATCGCTAAACTTGTGTTCTAGGTCACTTTTCCCAGGCCAAACACACACAAGTTTTCCCTTGACACGTGCATGACCACCACCACGCTGCTTCTCTTCCTTGCCATAGCTCTGTGCCTGCCTTTGCTCTGCGTTTGCCTCTAGTGAGCCAGGATTCTCTCTTCCATCCAGCTTCACACAGGTAAGTTTTGACTAGACGTAACTGACCCTGTGTTTGTGCCACTGAAACGTAAGCATAAAACACACATAATACAGGTCCGAAGAGAATGCGACGGCAATGAACCAGCCGAGAAGAGGAAGCAGGCGCCTAAGAGGAAGCAGGCGCCTGCAAA